CCCCTGCATTGTGCCAGGGGTGGCCTGCACCGCTGTCACCCCCCCAGCACCATGAATGTGCGACCTGCACCCTTATCCCAGGGTGGGAGAGCACACAGCCTGGAAACACCTGGAGCGGGAATGTGCTCTGAGGGCTAGACTAAATCCTGCACAGGATCCGGGGCTCAGTGCATCACTACTCTCTTTGCCTATATACATTTCCCCTTATCTATAGTTGCTCCATGTCCTCTGTGCCCTTGCATGTTGCTTTTGGGAGGCTAAGTCTCCCTCGCGGTTGCAAAATGGGGAAAACAGACGGGTTTTTGGTGAAAATGCCGCCGCGGGCGGGTGGTGGGGGAGGACTGCAGATAACATTTTTCAACCCAAATCGCTGTGGCCGCCAAGCAAAACACCCCCAGGCTGGGCCGGTGGCCGGAAACCGACCCCTTCGCGGTGGCACCAAGCGGCTCCCGGCAGCCCAGCCGGGGGGGGGGACAGCGGAGCTGCCAGCGGCCGGGACTGGTTGGGCCGCGTTGGCCCCAGGCCCCTTTCTGGGCCACTCTGCCCTGTCAGCGTCTCTGCTCGCAGCAGAGCCGGAGAAGCTTTTCCCAGAGTCGCTCCGGGAACTCGGAACTCTCGGAGCTTCCGAGAAGTTTTTTCCCCGCTGCTGCAGGCAGCCGGAGCAGCACTCGGGTGGCCTGGGGGGTCCGCGGCACTGGGGAGGATGGGGCAGCCAGACCCCCACAGTGCTGGCGAACACCCAGGGGTTTGGGCCCCAAGCTGCCCTCCTGGGCTGTAAAGCAATGCTAATTAGCAGCAGTGTTAACGACCTTCTCCTGCACCCCCCTCCACGGCACAGCTCCTGTGGGTCTGGGCTGCTCCGAGCATGGAGAGGTGTCAGGGGATAAGAAGAGTGTGTGTGGGGGGTTAATTTCAGGGAGGCGAGTGTGCCAGCTGCTGTCATCCCAAGGATGTCCTGCCATCTTTCCGCTCCAGGGTTAACACCTTCTCCAGGTAGCACAAAACGCCGCTCTGTCACCAGCTTCCATTCCTCTGCGCTCTACCAAGGAGCTCAGCAACGCTTGTAACCCACCATCATTCCTCTCCAGAGTTAACACCCACTCCTGATCGCCAGGAAAGCCCCTGTGCTGCCAGCGTTGTCCCCCCTGAGCGAGTGGTGGCAGCACCAGGACAGGCACTGGCCCCTAAGCACCCCCCAACCGCAACCATAAGGACCATGGCCCAGGGCCAGGGATATATATAGGTCCCATTTCCTTGGGAAGAGGAGCTGGGAAAGCCCCCGCTGGGGAGAGGAAGGGCCGGGCTGAGTCAGCGGGCGCCGGAGGCGGCGGGAAACGTTCCTCGAGGAATCCTAGTGTCAGCAACCGCCGTCCCGCACGGGCCGCATCCTGCCCGGAGACCCCGGAGCCCCCG